AAAAAAAAAAAAAAAACTGTATTCTTAATGAGCAGAGCTGCATCATTTCAAAATTCTAAAATTCATTTATTCTATGAAGTGAACAAGCCAAAACATTGGAAACATTTGATAAATTTTTGATTCTTTATAATACTGATCAAAGATGACGCTTTCGTCTTTAACCTGTAAGTGGTCAAGCATTACTTCCTGAAATTAAAAACTGTTAAAAAAGCATCTGGATAAGGCAAAGTACTTTCATAGCGTGAGACCAGAAACGGAATAGCTTCAAAGTGAAGGAAGAATCTCAAGAAGTACAAATGTTTCAAATAAAAGAAATTAATAGGCCATTAATCAATGAAAATGTCCCGCAAAAAAAAAAACTGTTGCGCAAAAGTGCACAGTCTATCAAAAAAAATTTTTTTCTCAAGTAAAATGACTATTTCGTATTAGAGGTCCCTTAGAAAAAGAATTTTTAGTATTAGGAAAGCTCGTGAAAGAATTATTTCTCCTGCCTCTACTTCACTTATTTTGATTCTTTTTCCTTTTTGGGTTTTAATGACTCAGAACTGCTACTAGTATTTTAAGCATCCATTTATAAGACACAAAATAAGCGCTTGTGCAGAGGCTACACTGTTTCTCCGCAAAAGAGACCTCATTGTGGATTAAAATTTATTAAAACAACATTCATCGTGCAAAAAACTCAAACATGCTAAGTTTTTTTTACAAATCAGAATGCTTTTGCATGACGCCCCTAAACTTTACAAACAACGACGGATTCTGGAACAATAATACATTTTTTGTACATTGCAGGCTCAGTATTTTACTACTTTTCGTATAAACGAACTGCCCTTCTCCTTTCGGATTCTAAATATCATACTGACTCCGAATGGATTCGAACTCAAGTCAGAAACAAAATGTAAAACTGAACTGCTCAAAAGCAGAGACAATACTCGACACGCCATCCGTCAACTTGTACCGAAGAAGCTAGGCAGAAGCTCAACAGTCACCAGCTACAGCAATTCTGGCCATTTGCAATGACAGTGACAGTTAGATCTATACAGGATTTGCATTGGAGATACTGATACAAATCAGCATAAATGCCTTTTTGTCCAAGCGAAATAAAAACATTTCTCTGTCTATCAATTCCAAAACTTTCAAATCTTAAATTGCTCTTTCAATCTTTGCCACTTACTTCTAAGAATGTCTTATAATGGTAATAATTAGCAAAAATCTTTTTCGCAGTAGCGAGAACCAGAATCCGTATTACAGCCCCAAAAAAACTATCATTTCTAAATTAAAGAACCATGCAGTTGTGAAGACAATTTGAATTTAAGTATATCTAAAAAGGTCCTTTAAATATAATTGAGAATTCCTGAAAAACCACTTCTTTACAGGAAATATAGAGCACTGCCACCACATATAATGCTGTTGTCTGGCAGTGTTACCGCTGTAACAATGACTCATAGTCAAACACTCTCATCGACCAATTTCAAGTTAATCCAACTTATGGATCATAAATGTCACTGCCAGTTAAACAGTTTAAACTGCTGACTCTATTTTAACAAAAACTTAATCGATAACATAGTTTAGATGTTTAGATGACAAAAAAATTCCTCAAAGCTTAGCCCGTTCACGTCCAACTATATGAGAACATCGACAAAAAGAATCAAGCTCAAGCGAAAAACAATAGGCATCCTATTTATAGTTTTGACAGATAAGATAATTTTAACACTCTTGCAAACTGAAAATTAGAACTATGATCGTTCCAAATAGCCTACAACAAATACTGTCCTTTAAGGTAATAATCAATCATTGGTGTACCTTTAGAAGAAACAAACAGCAGATGAGCAGACAGATAATGTGTCAATAAATTGCTAAACATTACTCTAACCGATTTAGAACCATGGCTCATAATAACAAATACAAGATATACGAAATTTTGATTTCAGCTATAAAGTCAAATTGCCAAACATAAAAAAGCACTGCAAAGTAGATACGCGAAAGTAATATCTATAATTTTAGCGGCAAACAAGGGTATACCACGCTTTTTACTGTCAAAAAAAAATTGATGTTGATCAAGCAGAAGAAATTTACGTAACTAACGACACTATTCTTAGGCACAGCAGTCACCTACAACATATGCTATTCCGAATTCTAGATTTTTCACACGCAGTTGGCCAGTTAATCCAAATAGATGTCGCATCAGCGCATTTTTAAAAAGCTAACAGTATTTAATTTACGGGTGGGCAGCTAAAGTAGCAAGCTTTCTAGTGCTAAAAAGTAAAAAAGCAATTACCTGCTTCCTAAAACGACTACTGGTGACAAACGCTTGCAACAATCATTGAGTTAAAAATATTAAATTTAAAAAATGGTTACTTAAAATCTGGAATAGAAATTTGAGAATAACAACAAAAGCTAACAACAACAGCTGCAGCAGCAATTAAAGAAAGCTGTTCTAGTGCATGCTTTACTAGATCTAAATCTATGGCTTCAAGATGCATGGTTTCCATAGTTAAAAAAAGTTAGTTCACAGTCACTTTACAGTGAAACCATTACCTTGCAGACAATTCTCCGTATAGTCGGACGGTACTGACTGTCAGTTATCAGCTGACACCAATTCTACTTTATGATACACTACATAAATCTACTTTCATTACGCATGGATAATTGCAGATGAGGAAACAAACGCGAAACATAAATTTGATGAATAAAACAAATTTTAGCAGATTTGTCACTGCAGTCCTCTCAGTTCCTATCTAAAAACAAAAATGCCACAAAAATCTGTTTCCTGCATCCTAAGCGACATCGAGAAAACGCCAATTCACATTGGCTATAGAAAAAACAGCCAAAGAAAAAACACAAAAGGCCTCTTAGAAAGGAAGGCTTCTTAAACTGGCGAATTCTTTGATAATAGTCATTTAAAAAAATCGTTTTTTTTTTTTTAAATAGTCTACTGGCTGTTTGATAAACATCAATAACAACTCTGGTAAAAATCACTACAACTATGTTTATCAGTTAGGGATAAATACCATGAGGCTCTTCCTTTCAACCCCAAATTATATGTTACCAATCCAATGCAAATAAAACAATCTTCCAATTCTGTTTTAAGTTATCAAAAATAATTCATTTTATTACTCTATAGACATTCTCAAAGAATATGGAGGTTAAAACCCTCTAACAGACTAAACCTCAACTCTATTTTACAAGAAATATCTTACCTATCCTGAGTAAGCAAAAATTAATGGAATGTAAACCTCATCTTACCTTATTTTCTCTAAATTCGTTTTTTACTTTTGCCTAAATCTTATTACATACAGTTTTGTTCATGAATAACAACGCTACACGTTCGGTCCAATCTCAAACGTTCATTTGGAACTTCTCAGTATGCCTTAAACCAATATATTCATCTTCAAACTTAACAAATTGAGGAACTCACAAAGGGCTGAATAATTCTTCGTCTTCCTTTTCACACCATTACGCAGGCCGTGTACTTTATAAAACCTATTGTGCTGACAAAGCAGCCCAGTTTTTTTAGAACTAATAGAAAGCAAAAAGATGGCACAGAGAAAGCGCCTAATATAGAGGTTTCAAAAGATACATTTAGAAAGTGCGAATGACAGCAAAAATTAGCTGCTACAAGACTAAGAGACAAAATCTTGTCATAAATGCCTGACCAAAATACTGTTCACAAAAAAACTTCTCTAAAATTTCCGTTCATGAAAACAACTATGATTCAGTTTTGAAAGTTCTGCAGATGCAAAGTAATTCTGTTCAATCGCCGAAATGATTCAACTTGAATTTATATCATCCAGAATGTTTCAAAGTTGATATGAGCTCCAGGACACGTGAAACGTGGAA